ACCCTAAAGTTCCTAAAGACCCTAAATCGTAGACCTCTCGGCTTCCGCCCCCGCTTTTCTTCAGCGGTCCCAAAGGAAGGTCTTCAGGCCCAGGGCCACGAGGAGCTTGCGATTCACCACGAGGTCCTGGAGACTTGGAGCATTTTTTACGGCTTGTGGTTTAGGGGTTTAGGGTTTAGGGTTTAGGATTTAGGGTTCAGGGCTTGAGGTTTAGGGTTTGGGTTTAGGGTTTGGAAGAATTTAGGCTTTGGTGTTTTGTCCGGCCTCTCTAGGGGTCTTTACACGGGGCTTCTGGGATTTAGTGTAGGGGCCTTAACCATTGGAAGAGGGTTTTTTTGCGTAGATCCCTCTAGGGGTTAGAAAGGTTTTGCATAGCGGCCTTGATATTCAGATTAGGGTTTTGGCGTGTACTTTTCATTGATTACAACTATAACAAATTGGATTCTACAAAAATTCGCAGAAGTTCAGACCCTACGTTAGCACCACCACCATCCCAACAACATATCACCAGCACCATCACTGGAATCATACACCCTAAACCCTAATGCCTAAACCCTAAACCATCAAAGATATCATAGCCTCCCACATTTTCTCTAAGCCGGGGTGCGGTGGAGAATGGCTTCACTTTGATCGCCGGCCTCCGGGGGCTGTGGGACTTTCTGCTTTCGGTTTGGGAGCCCGATCCCCGTGGAGTTACAACCCCTGCGGTTTGGGGTTTAGGGCTTAGGGTTAGCCGATAGACACACACAAACACCGTCTAGTCCGACTTCACTCTAGGACCCGAGTTGCCACGTGCTCTCGGAGCTCCCCAAAATGCCTGACGACATCTGCATGAACCGTAGGCCCTCGAAGCCCTTCACCTGGAAAAACCTAGGCTCCAGAGCCTAGCAGCCCGAAGCCCTATATGGGAGTTTCCGAACATAAGGGGTACCTTATTTTGGGGTCCTTATAATAAAGATCCTACTATTTAGGGTACTATATTAGGGTCCCCTATTTTCGGAAACCCCCATATCAACCCTAAGCCCGATGTATACCAACCCGTAACCCTAAACCTTAAACCCTAAACCCTTATAAACCCTAAACCCTAAACCCTGAACCCTAAACCCTAAACCAACCTGCAATTTATAGGGTTCTGCAGGTTCTGTAGGGATTTATATCACCACACAACCCTCAGGGACACCTTAAACCCTGAACACCTCAAAGCTCTGATGCTGAGCCCCGGGAACTCCAGAAAAGAATGGGCTCCGGATGCACCCATCCAAAATTAGGCTCCCTAAACCCTAAACCCTAATAGGGTTTAGGGTTTAGGGTCCCTAAACCCCAAACCCTAAACCCCTAAACTCCGGATGCACCCATCCAAAATTAGTCAGGTTTAATAGCTTTTCAGGTTCACAGTTTTGGGTTAACCCGATTGAGACTTCCCTCGTTCGCACTGGGTGAACAAGAAATGGACTCTGCATCATACCTGGGGCATTTGGAACCCAACATTTCCTATTCTAGTACCTTCCAACCAACTGCTCTGCCCCGGTGCAGAGGAAAAAGAGCGGGGAAGAGAAGGGGGTCCGGGTCTCGGGATTGAGTTGGTCGAGCTGATCTGCAGCCTCGAGACCACAAAACTCATAGATCCGTTAATGGTTCCCTTTAAGAAGTCCCGTGCTTCACTTGGGTCCTTCGCAAACTCTCTATTTGTTTTTTTTTGGGGTAGCATATTATGAGCGTAGGGACGACATGGGGGGTGGTATAAGACTTGATCAACCTTTCGGGGCCACAGACCAAGGCCTGCGTGTTCCCAT